AATGCCTCAAATCTCAGTCCAGTCAGTCACCTGTGGGACGTGCTGGATGAGCGGATCTGATCCACGAGGGCAACTTCCAGGACTTACAGAATCTGCTGCTAACGTCTTAGTGGCTGATACCTTCAGACATGACGCCTTCAGAGGTCTTGTGGTGGGGAGCAACTTTTCCATCCATGTCACTCTGCAGAACCTCTGTGCACCAGGCTCTAAGACCAGGAAGACTCCCTACCCAACCAAGAATCCCTTCACCCGGATCTTCCTGCTGGTATCCAGCCCCATCTACACCTATGAGCTGGGCCCCTGGCTCGGCTTCACCCTGATGACCCAGTGTCTGCCGGTTCTTCACCTTGGTGGGCTTCATCCAGATGACTGTTTGGGCCAAGTAGCACCGCAGCTACCTGAACGACGACTACCCTCCCCTCTGCTCGGCCATCATCCTGTAGAGGACCAGTCGGCCGCTTCCTTGTCCAGTCAGCTCCCCTCCTCTCCAGTGCTAGCAGAGAGGGTCCTTCCTCCCAAGATCTTCGTAGACTGCAAGACTCCGAGCTTGTCGCTGCTTTTTTTCCTCACAAGCCAATTGGTTCATGTGTCAACAGGTCGGTGTTTTTTTGGGGGACCTACACGATACTAGGCAGATGGTTGCAATAGGGCTGATCAGTGTAGATGTTGTTCTGGTGAGTCATTACAAACAGCGCCTTTGGATTTCATTAAAGTCCTGACATTTGTTTCAGCACTTACTTTGATATACTACCATATCATCAAAAGCTGTAAATAGCTAGAATTACCCTCTGAGGCATCCACAACTTACATCTTGAACTAAATTAGCTGTAGGTGACAGAAATAACATACATTTATCTAAGTGCAGTATGAGCGAGTTGAATCAGTTCATGTGAAAAAGAAAAAAAAAAGAAAAGGAAATATCTTCTGGAGCTGAAAATCCCTGGATCTACAGATTTTTAAGGGTTTGGGGCCTCTTCTGCCCTTTTATTGTATTTTCTTTATTAAAATTCCCATTTCATACAGTTTCTCGCCGCTGCTCAAAACAGAGCATTTTCTGAAACCTAATATTGGCAGCAGGGCCTCGAGTGAAAAAACAAACCTGATGGCACAGCCTACACTGGACGGGAGAGAAAGAGAGAGAGAGAAACAAGCTAAGAGTGAGAGGGAGAGATGGAGTAAATCTCATCTGGAGGGAGACAGATTCATTGGTGTGGTTAAGGAGGATATGGCGGCTGAAACCTGACCTCCTGGCCAGTGCTGATGCGGCTTACGGGGCCCCTAATCCCAGGATGAGGTGTGCTGTAGCTCTAGTCTCTAAAAAGGATCGAGGGATGTAGCTGGCCCGTGAGCTTAAGCAAAACGGGTCCTATCCATTTTCTACCTTCTTTTCCTATTTCTCTGTCCTCCTGCTTCGGGAGAGGGAAAAAAAAAAAAAAACGTGGCCACCATTTCTGGCTCCCGGCCAATCAGCTGGATCCAATTTATGACTAAACGATGTTGAGAGCTTCTCCAGGCCCTTGCAACGAGGGGTTAGCATGCTATGGGGGTATATGCATTCCCCGGGGGAGCTGGGAAGTAATCCGTTCTCTGGCTTGAAGGGGTTAGAGAAAAGGGGGGAGCTACGAGGGGCCAGCATTCCTGACAGCCCCAAAAATAGATCCCAAAGCTGGAGAGCGAGTACATTAGCCGAGGCTAGAACACGGTCTGACAAAACCAAACTCTGCAGACAAAGAGGGACGCTTCAAGTCTCAGCTGTGCTGTGTTCCAGGGGAAATGTTTTTCATTGTACTGTTTAAGGAATTTGCCGAAGATAATGACCTACGGTGATTACGTTTGTGGGCCGATAAGGTGATTGTTTTTATGCACATTCTCACTTTGTACATGAAAAACCTTTAGTTGAAATGCCCAACATGGAAAACAACTGAACAGAAACACACAAGACCCTCTTCAGTCACTGAATAAACCCTAAAACCATATATATATCATATATACCATATACATCTGTACTGTTGTTTCTACTACAATAGGAGGCTCTGTGAAGTTCCCCCTCTCTCTCCTCAACTGCCCCTTTCTAGGAAACACAGTTCCTCATATGGTGGTGGGGGATTTAACCCTCTGAACTCCACATGGGCTTAAAAGGAAAAAAAAATCAATCACTTCTCAGAGCAAGAAATTTAAAAAAACAGGAAGATTCAACTTTCCAACGGTCTTTGAACTAACCAACTTTAAGCTTTGTCAGGAGAAACAACCACATTTAAGCTTAAAACTGGGATATTTTATGTTTATTTTAAGTCACTTTACTCCATACGTCTAATTTAAAATTTGCAAAATAAACAAACAAACAAAACGTTGGCTCTAAGCCTGTGTGAAAAAATAAAATTAAAAATTCTGCGCTCATCAGCACGACCAAGTTCAACAAAAGTTAAGGACTGCAGGACGTGTTCACACAGAGCAGACGTCAGACAAGAATGAAAGCAAATTAAAAAGTGTAAGCAGTAAAGTATTGACGGTACGTGGAGCCTCCACGTTTCCCAGTATTGGAAACAAATCAAAAAATCTTTGTAAAATGAATAATCAAAGAAAAGTTTAATTTTTTAAATAATAATTTGTCACATTATATCTTTGCTGCACTGAACAAAAGTCGTCCTACTGAGTCCACAGTGAAGAAAAATGTGACAGGAGGAAAAAAAACACTAAAACACCCAGAAGCTACTTGGAGTTGAGAGGGTTAAAGAAATGTCATCGTTCCTTCCTTTTCTCCTGCAAAAGAAGAAACTGATTTCTTGGCCAACCATGACTTAATCAAATCAGCTTTTTTACACAGGAGCAAGAAGGACTACAAACAGAAAACGACTGCTGTCACAACAGAATAACTAGAATACAGAGACACTGATATTTCCTTTTATCCTAAATAATTCCATCTTAAGTCTGACTAACACTAAACGAACACTAAAGTAAGAGCATAATGTTCACCAGCGAGCGATCTGACAGTAAGAAACAACGGTGTCACAATAAGGTTGGTGGTCGAGGAGAAATCTGATTACTGACTTGCTGCGCACACACACACACACACACACACACACACACACGCACACACACACACATACACACACACGTAAATATGTTTTTTGATTTCCTGTGTAACCTCATTTGTCTGAATAACCATGTTTTTTTTGTACCCGCTTGTAAACAACTTAATGGTATAAATCCAATAAAACAAGCAGAAAATACATTTAATAAAACAGAGTTGGAGGCATATATGCTCGCCATTTCAATAACATCTGCACACCAGAAACGCTCCTTATTCCAGCTGTATAAAAACATGGGGTCACGTAAACTCAGACCTGAAGGTCAGGCAGGAATCCCAAGACCATCAGCCTATAAAAATGTTCTTTTTTTCTTATGTATAAGCCACACTGCGCTCTCCTGCTGCTTTGTTTAATCTTGTGCTCTCTTACCTGCCAATACCACAAATAACTTCAGAGTGCTTTTTGGGGGTAGAGTGAGCCAACCCAACTGCAGGAATCAAGCAGATAATAGCATAACATCTGTTCTCCGGTACCCGGCTTTTGTCCAAAAATCCTATAACAGCATTGCGAGTGGACACATTTCTTAAATTGGTAGCTGCAAAGGAAACTGCTTGAGATGCCTGGCAATGTGAGTGCCATTTTCTTCATGGCACACACGGAGGAAACCTACAATCTGAGCGGTGTTCCCGGGCTGGAACACCGTTTTTGGGACTTTTAAAGCACTTTCCAGAGATTTTTTTTTTTTTTTTACAAACTACATTTCCTTACAAGTCTACAACTGGCCTTTCAAAATCCAGTATTTCATGGGGGTTTTGTCCCCAGCTGAATCCTCATTTCCTTGAAATTGGACAAAACTAGCATCAGCATGAGAACTGCACTGTTGAAGGCGTACTTACATTATGTATTGAAAAAAATCTATGAATCTATTGATCACTTAAGCTATACAGTTCTCCAAGTTCTTGATAATTGGTCCTTACTGCAGAATTATTTAATGAACAAAGACAGAAATTGGAGGAAATCTATGCGTCTGTTAATGTAGAACAGGGGTCAGCAACCTTCAGAGCCATTTGGACCCGTTTCCCACGGAAAAGAAAACACCAGGAGCCACAAAACCTTTTTGACATGTAAAATAAAGATAACACTTTTATGCTATGTATAAAAAAAACTATAGTGTGCTGCATTTATAAAATCAATGAACTGCTACAGAGAAAACTTAATTTTATTTCTGCAACAAAAAACATCTTGACCTTGGGGAAAAAAAAAAAAGACGCTGGGTTGAAGGTTATTTTGAATTAAAATACTCAGTGTCTATTTGAGTCCTCCATGTATTTATGAAATAAAAAGCCAAACTTAAATTATCAATTAAATTAGTGAAGTAAAGATGCCGTCTGGCTGTCCTGCTGCCTGCAGCTGGGACTGCTGACCAGCCTGCTGACCGCCTGTGGGACAGGAGGAGCTCACGGCAGCATGTTGAGGACAGTAGCTGCAGAACGAGTCTCCAAAACACCAGAAAAATCTCCAATAACACCAGATAGAGTCACTAGATTTGTCGCTAGTAGCTTTTGACAAAAAAAAAGGTGCCAAGAGGATTTGGAAAGTCGCCAGATTTAGCGAGAAAGTCACCAAATCTGCAGGTGTGACGCATATTTTGAGCGACAAAATACTTAAACGTTTTATTTTAATGTCAAAAGTTCACAAAAATCCTCAAATTTAGTATTAAATTTCAAAAACTAACCAACTAAAATAAAATATATTAAAATACTCGTTATTTATTTTCCAAAGCCACAAGGAGCCGCAGCAGAGGTAGCCGACCCCTGATCTAGAAGCGACTGATATTCAAAAGTTTTGAAGACTACAGTTTTTAATGTTGATGGTCCTCAGCACCCACAGAAGGTACAATTAGCTGCAGGACGGGGGGGATACGAGCCCCTCTTAGTCGGTGGTAATGTTTTACTCTCCAAGGTCACTCACTTCTTGCAGTTGCTGTACTCGGAGCAGCGGCTGAGCGGCACGCGGATCACGCAGCTGGAGAACGCCACGAACAGCGAGTGATGATCCCGGTCCAACTCCAGACCCAGCACCCTCCGGTCCTCCCCTCGCACGTTGCATCTAGGAACACAGGAGGGGAAAAAAAAACCACACCAACTGTCAGGATCAGACATTTTCGATTTCTCTTCATTTTTAAATCAGCGCCGCAGACGGCTGGCACAGTCTGAAAATTATACAGAAAGCCGGCTGCGAATCAAACTCCATGCAGATAGACTTTTCAAGCTGTGCAGTCAGAAAACAAAAGAAGACACAGAAAAGAAAGCATCCCCTCTAGCTGTACAGGGTGATGCAAAGTGGTACAATAGACCAAAGAGTGGGTGGGCAGGACAGATCAAGGCAGAACAAGAAGAGGAGGAGAAGAAGCAAAGAGTGGAGAGCAGGAGAGAACAGAGAGATACTAAGTAAAGAATACATAATGGATAAATACGAGGAGGAAAGGAAAAGACGGGAGACGATTACTGAAAAACATGCAGCGGAGAAGCAACACAGAAGACAGACTTGTTGGGGTTGTAGACGTCGATGTCCTCCAGGAGCTGGGTGTTGAAGGACGCGTTGGCTCCCTCGGTGCTGGCCAGGATCTTCAGCACATGACCGTTGTCTGAGCCCAGGAACACCACGGTGTAGTTCTTGTACGGCCCCGCTGACGTGTCCACCGCGATCTGGGTCAACTTAAACCTAGATCAGAACCAAGAAAACATTATATTAGACACGATGGTCCAAGCATTGACAAGGAAGAGCTGCGTGATCAACAGGCACACTGACTAAAATCCAGAGTGAAGATTATCTAAACTGAAGCTGTCATGTCACTTACTGCCTGGTTAGCGCCTTAACGTTGTTGTTTTGCTTCGTGAAAGCCGATTTTTGGTGGAAAACAAAACAAACAGTGGGTGAGCTCATTGTATTAATCATCAGTGTGCAATCAGTCACTTCATCTGCCAACCCACCGTTCCCTTCCTCCATCGCCTACTGTACATCCTTTAATACCTTCATCCTATTAATTCATCTACTAATCATCCATCCACCCACAGCCATTCAATCGATGCATCCTTCTTCCTGTTGTTGTTTAGCCACTTTTCTCGGCACATTGCTGTCTCTTTGAAAGCCCCGGCTTTCTATTTTCTGTTTGTATTTATGAGGAAGTCCAGTCAACTGCTGCTTTGTTTGAAGCAACACTCTGATTCATATTCATCCAGCTCCACAAGGTTACACCTGGGAGGTGCCCAGTATCACCACAGCCGTCTACTGCTGGCTCCACTGGAGCAGTTGAGGATTAAAAGCTGTGCTGAAGGGCACCTTGAGTCCAGCGGTTGTTGAGAGACGGATAAGCTTTACTCGTTCATTTTCTCTGTCTGCGTTTCCCCTCTCTGGCCCGGGGATTTGAACAAATGCTCTTCCTCTAATAATTCTTTTGGCTTCACAGTCCTTCCTTTCTTCTATTAAGGACACCAGCAGCAGCTCTTGTGCCCTCCCTTCTCCCTCAGAACCTCCCAGATGGTCCCACACAGGCTGGTGTGTTTGCCCACATGGACAAGACTGGCACGTCCCCGCAATGACTCGGCAGCACTGCGAGATGCGCTTCTGCTTGGATTTAATTTTTGCGGCGTCTCTCGGGGGAGAGGCGAGGCAGATGTGATGTTTTTGGCGCCAGATGCGAAGTGGTGCATGTTTCCCCAGTGTGGAGCCACTGCAGCGTCTGGCTGGCTGCCAGTCTGCCTCTGTGTGCTGCTGTATACTACGCGCCTCTACCTGTTTATGTGTATGTGAGGGCTGAATCCGGGATGCTGCTGCCGCGTACATCCATGTCTGAGGTTTATGTTGCACTGCCTGAAAAACACTTGTGACACTTATCGCCGATTCAACATTCACCCTATCATCATCTGATATCAGCGGATTCTCAAATGTCACAACACGCACACTCCCACACGGAGAGAGAGGCTTTCGATGTGCGCTGCAGCGGAGCATCCGCAGGTCAGCGCTCACGGAAGATCCTCTCCCCGCGCGCCGCGTCTTTGATGTGGGCCGAGATCGACCGTTGAAAAAAATCCGATGGGTTTTAATGAGGGACAAGGTTGTGCGTTCCACCTGAGCTCTCTCATCGATACCAGCTGCGAGTGTGAAACGCTGCTCGTGCTCCGTGTTGCTATAGGAAATATGAAATGCATACTCCGGCATTTCCTCTTAAAAGTCTGTTTATAACAAACCGCCAGGCTCCGAATCACAACACACCATTCATGTTTGTAGAACAGCTCCATGTACCTTGTCTTAGAATTACAAAATGCTGCGGTTTAACTCTGAAATAGATGCAGAAACAAACGTTATGGCGAAGATGACTCAAGGAAATTATGATGCAGTTATTTTGATCTCTTTCTGGTTAAAATATTTTCTTTTTCTCACTTCTTCAAAATGAGGATGTTTTCTCAGATTTATGTTGTTGTAAAGTAAACATTGTGGGGTTTTCGGCTACGATTTTTGAGGAGCTTATGTTTGACTTTAGGGAACTATGGAGGCATGTTTCCCACAACTGTCAAAAGTTTAAAAGATCAAATGATGAAATATTTAAGAAACCTGATTAACTTAAAGCAGCAGTCTCCAACCTTTTCTGCACCACGGATCGGGTTCAAGCAAACTAATTTTCTACGGACCGTTCATTACGCACATAACATAATAAAAATTTGTAATAATAATAATAATAATTTAATCTAATTTAATTTAATTTAATTTAATTTAATTTAATACTTTTTTCTATTAAAAAAGAATGAATCAAACTACTTTTTATTGCTAAATAAGTTTTGACTTTTTCGTCCGTCTCAGCATCTCATCCTCTTTTCTAAGAAGCTCTCCAGAAAAGTTCGTTTATTCATTTTGGCAGCGGTTAGAATAGATTTATCGACCAGGCAAAAGTCAAAAGCAGGAAACAAGCAAAGCCGGAAGTTACGGGAGGACGAGCTAGTCGTTTTTCAAAATAAAACACCTTGCAGACTCTGCCGGAAACAAAATAAACCGATAAAACATTTTTATTCTTTCTGTGCGGCCCGGTACCGGTCCGCGTGCCAGTGGTTGGGTTAACCATTGGGTTGAAGGCCTACATATTTAAAGGGCCAGCATGTAGGAGAAGCTACAGCGGCTGTCCCTTCTATGTAAAAATGCAAAAGGCCCGAACTAGAGCCATTTGTCCATTCTGGGCTACTGTAGAAACACAACAAGCTCTGTGGAAGAGGACTTACTTCCTACGTCGACACGTCTAAGCACAACAAAAGCACAATGACTTGAAGTCACAGGTGATTATATACTAATTAAAACATCATTTTGAATATAATGCCTCTTTAAAAACACACATAATGGGCACGAGATAATGCAACGCGCTCATTAATTAGCTGTCTGTGGTAAAGAAAGAAAAAGAGAATCATAAGCCGTCAAGGGGTTGTTTTCCTTGACCCACAATCCTACATCTAACTCACAATGAAACACGATATCATCGTACGAGATTACAATGATTAGCTTTAAAATGCTACAACAAAAAAAGCCAGCACCAGTGAATGTTTGCTATTTACGCCATTAACAGACTCTCTACAGCGAGCATTAACGATCTGCTGATTATTTCAGCACCACAGGACACGCGGCTGAGTCAGTCTTCAATAACAGACACACTCAGCTCGGTGATATGAGTCTGTGTGGATGCTGAGAGCTGCTGTTGGCCTCTTCTCGGTGGAATCTTTCAGAGTGTACATACGGTGCCTGCAGGTTAAGAAGTAACGGCTGAGAAAGTGTTGATAAAGTGAGTGAACTACGGTGTGGACTTCTCAGCCGAAAGCTTTTTGATGCTGCTGCTCCTGTCAAAAGCCCGTCGCGCTGCACGAGACGGAATGCACTCCGTCGCTTGTTCGTCCGCCCTGGAATGGAAACGGACCTACCTGCTGGTGGTGCGGGTGAAGTAGGGTCTGTCGTTGACCGAGGGCACGGATTCGTCCATCAGCGGGTACGACTTGATGAAAGTCAGGGTGTCGTCGGGGAAGGTGGTGGAGGACTTGTACGCGGCCGCCGGGCCCTCGCCGGCGCAGCAGCCCGGCCTGTACGGAGAAGGAAAGAACAGCAGGAGTGAATCCGCTTCCATAGACACAGATGTAAAAACACCGGCAGCTGTTTGTTTTCGGGGACGAGCAGGAGGGAGAATCAGGTGTCTTGTGTGACTGCTTGTTTTGTTTTTTCTTTCTTTCTTTCTTGCTCCGTGATGTCTGCACAGAACAATAACAGCAGCAGCTGCAAAAACTCTATTGTCAGAGGCAGAAAAACAAGTTCTTGGAAAGTGACAGTTTGCTTTTTTAGAAATGCGTCTCTCACCTCGGTTTGGGGACTTGCTCCTCTGGAACGGGCGTCCAAGCCGACTCGCTGTTCCTCTGCTCTTTGAATTTGCCACTGAAGGCCTTCTCTATGTCGTCCATGTAGAAAGCGCAGACCGCCGAGCCGGTGATGCTGTTGAAGGGGCCACAAAGGGAGAGGACATTACAAAGAGCCGGATGAAGGGCTGGAGTTCACCACCTTGTCCGATCACGGCACAACATAAGGACGTCTTGTCACGGCACACAAAAATGACTTTATTCCCTCGTTTTCTTCTTCTTTTTTCCTTCCCATTGCCTGTATTTAGTATTTATAGTATATATTTCAAATGTAGTCGCATTTCGTTACCTTGCAATGTGGACATATTGTAAGTTAAAAAAAAAAAACGTCTCATTTAGTTGTTTTTCCGTTTCTTTGTAATTAACAGCATCTATTTATTGTTGTCTTGTTGCACCGACCCACCAGAACAGATTCCTCGTATTGTGTGAACTATATCTGGCAATAAACCTGTTTCTGATTCTCTTACTGCAAATTCAGATTAAAAGCAGAGTTTTAACCGTGATACATGACACACCTGCAGTCATTCCAGGAAAACATTCACTGTCATTTTGACATGTACAGCCGTCATGGAAAACAGTGACTTCAGCCTCCCTGTCATTTCCCTGACAGCTCAAACAGTAGATCATCGCTAGCGTAGCTCAGTGGAACTTCACTATCACACTTCTACTGTTGCTAGAGTGGATTTTAATTGGAAAAAGGGGACATAACTTTGCTGCAAATAACTTTCTAGACTGGATTTAGAATCAGCTGATGGTGTAACGACTGCACATATCATTTATTTATTTAAAAATCATCTCTGTGTATCAAACTTACACATTATCAGGCCTTCAAATGCAGCTCAAGCACACCAGCTCCCACATGACTCTGCTCAATCATTGTACTCTGTGCTACACAAAGCTGTAATTCTGGCGTGAACCCCAAACAGACCTACGTGGTTGTTTCGACTTGTTACACATGAACTCCTGGCCGTCTGAATCTGCGGTACTGAGACTTTCGTTGGTACACGAGCAGGTTTAAGGTGGAAATGCTCAACTGCAGAGCCGACCACTTATTCTGCTTAAGATGCGCCTATAAAGCACCATATGGACACGTTGACGAGGTAAAAAAACCTGATTTCCATAATAGGGGGGTCTTCAATTTTAAATTACAAGTCAGCCGTGCAGATGGCGACAACATCAAGAGGAAGCATGATGCTGTCTGGAGACTCATCACTTAAAAAAAAAGGTATTGTGAGACAGACAACAACACGACTCCCGACCTGTTCGCCTGCGTGGTGAAGACTCCGAGCACCGCCGGCCGGTGGTTGATCTGCAGCACGTTGGTCAGCGACTGCAGGACGTCGAAGTAGAAGAAGGAATCGCCGGGCACGGAGCAGTTCAGCCGGGCTTTGAGGAACGACGTCCAGTAGCGCTCCAGCACCCTCGGGGAGCCTCCGTTGTCATTCTTACAGACACGTGCGACTCTGGAGAAAACCACCTGAGGGGACAGCAGAGTAAATCCCTCACAGGTGACAACTTGACGTGTAAATCAACGCACTCCGGCAGAGCCAGCACTGAATACCGAGCAGCGTTCAGGAATGTGGTTTGCATGTTAACCGATGGCGGCTGTTAGACTTCATTCCACTCAGACACAAAAAAAAATGTTGACGCCACAAACCACGAGTCTGCCGAGTGTCTGGTCTCAAACGGGTTCCTCACCTTGCCAAGAGTGGTGTACTCCACCGCGATCTCGCTGAAGAAAAAGTACACGTAGTTCCCGTACTCAATGGCGTGGAGGAAATGGGGCTCTGTAAGGGCACGAGATGGAAAAAAAGAAGCGTAAACGTGCTGGAAGTGATGCCTTATTTGTAATGTGACAGTCTATCAAGAGCGGGCCGGGAGAGGAGCCGCTCAACACAGAAGCTCGATTTGGAAAATGGGTCAGAGAGAAATGTTTTAAAACGGCAAATCTTAAAGAAAAGATAAACAAGGGCAGGCAGCTATTGTATTCAAACAGCAGAGATGTTCAGTAGTGACAAAAAATACCAGGACAACTACGCTCAGGTTAGAAACACAAGAACTAATAGGGCTGGGTTTTCTACAATCTGAATACAGCACCGGATTTATTTAGTCATTGTACAGTCGTGACTCGATGATCCGACGCTAAATGTAAAACCTTCTTTTATGTCGGATCGTTAGGCTGTCGGATTGTCAAGACGGAGGTCGAGATACAAGGAGGGCTTGATGCTGGAAGGCTCATTAGTTGTTGATATTTATTGTTATAATAACTCGTGTATTGTTAGAACACTACGCATCGCTGGATTTCACGCCAACTTGATCAGTGCGATTGTGCACGTTCTGGCCACTTCCACCCCGTCGGAGCGCAACCCCGGTGTGAAAGTAGCCGGAACGCACAAGCGGTACTTGGCTGCTGATGCTAGTTTAGTTAGCGCTCACACTTCTGTTTCCACCATCGGTGGCGGCGGGGGAGTGGCAGATACGCTCCACCGTTACCATCCATGTTTACTTCCATAAACACGCTCACTGCGTGTGACGTCGTCGTGTCCTCTTCTGCGCATGCGGGACACTTTTGGGTCGTATGAAGTTCACACAGCAGATCACATACAAGTCGCATTGAACTGGAAACGTGAAGGAACTCACAAAGAAATCCTCATTGAGCATCAAGTCCTGCAGTGTGAACGTAGCCAATCTGTGGGATTGTTCAGTCAGATAATACGCCGTCATCCTGATTGGTGACGTTTTTCCTAAAAACCTGTCGGATAGCGAGGTTTTGGATTGTTAAGGGTCGGATTATCGAGTCACGACTGTATTTGAATTCTTTGAGTGTATTTTGGTTCATTTGTAAGTAACTTTATTAGAAAAAATGTAAAATACCAAACGACATAGATTCAGTTGAGACCAGAACCATGAGAGCAATAAGTCTGAAATTCTAAAAAACATTTAAAATGTAGATTTATTCACATCGAGCTAAAACTCATACATTTTAATAAAAGCATCCTGCAGTGAATCTTTGTTTTTTTGTTTCAGTGTTGATTCAACTTTATGTTCACGAATTAAAATAGGGTGGTCAAAATAATAGAAACACCGGTCACTCATCGATTATTGAATAATCAGCTCCCTCCCTTTACTTCAACCAAAGCTGCCATGAAGCTAAGATTTATCGACCGAGTTATTTTTTTAGCGACTGTTTGGCAACTGAGTGTAAATCTCAGGTTTGGCCTTCTTTGACATTTCTTTCTTTTCACGAGCCCTTTGCTCAAAACAACCTCCTTCCTCAGAACTACTAACGCCGAGCTTAATTTATCATTTTAAAAAAGTACAGCTCAAACAATTAATCAACAGAGAATTAATCAGCGGCAATTATGATAATGACGGCAAAACATTTCCATTACCGGAGGGCTGATGCGTTTCTGTTGGAAGCAGCGACTGGAACGCACATAAACACAAACGGGAAGGGGACACGCACAGCGGCAGGAGCTAGACTCCCTTTTTAACGGCGCTACGAGCGTCTGCACACACTTGTCATAAAAGGGAAGCATCTCTTGTATAGTTTTGTTTGATTAATTGAGAAAAATAATCTGATTAAGTGACGAGGGGGAGACGGCAGATCCTGTCAAACGAAAGTGACGCGATCAGATCGTATCGCTTTGGGAATGAAGCCGTCAGATGCACAAACCGGTGTACGTTATGTTATCAAAGTGTTGCTGTCTGAGCAGAGGCATCAGTTTATCAAAAAACACTAAACGTGGAATTACTCGTGGAGTTAATGTTCATAAATTTCAGCTGATGTAATCTCTGTTGGGTAGAAACGGGAAGCCTGCTACCTGCTTAGATTTGATAAGAGGCCGGTTATCCTCGAAGCTCAGTGAATTTTGGGATTTGCAGGCTTAAAATCTCATCTGAAGTGACACCGGCTCTCTGATCCTCAACCCAATATCTGAGAATTTCCACACCTCGGCGCCAACCACCTCACTGTACGCTGATACGCTGTCACACCTCAGCATGTAAACACGATGCTCACCTCGCAGCCATTTGGAGTCGTACTTGACTGTACGTAGCACGGGGCTACTTTCTCCCAGACTCCTGTAAATAACCGCATCGCTCGCCAAGAAGTCGGTCATGGTGGCAGAGTAGAAATCACCACCTGGAAGAAAAAAACAAGTATTTGAGACACATCGTCGGGGATCACAAGTCCCACCGATAACCCACTTCTCTCAAGTGTCTATTTTGGTCACAGGTGACTTTTATTGCTCTTTTAAAAAGGAGGCTAAGGAGAGCAGATGTAGACGAACGTGGCACTTTTAATAACGCTCCGTGTGAACTTTGCATAAATGTCAGTGGAAACCTGGCAGGATTGAGTGCAGGTTTGGCTCTCTCTCTCTCTTCCTTCCTCCCCTGAACTTGACCCCCGATGTGTTCGCACCGTATCAGCTTCCTTCGCTGCTATGATTAGTAAAGAAACTGCAAATCTGACCGCAAACCAGAATCTGCCGAGGGGGAAACTTCAGATTATACCCTTTCCTGATCCTTGCTTACATTCTGGGGCTTCAAGCTCACGCACTTCCCCAGACAAACTGACAACAGCGTGCAGTTTAATATATTCCTGTTTATATTAAACCATCATTCTGTTCGATGACCACATGACACATCCAGCATTTACTCATTTAATTCATTACAAATCATGTGTACTTTACATAACAGCTGCCTGTTCTGCTGTGTTTTGGAAAACGGAAGGAGATTTTTCCACATGAAAGAACCGCATGAAAATGATTAAAACTGACTTTTGAATCGTGCTTCAGCGGCCGCTATGTCTGCATCACATTATCATAATGAGGTAATGTATTTATAGGCGGTTGTGCTGCTTCGTCACAAAACAGCAAATTAACATTCATGAAAAAAAACACAAGTGCAGACTCGATGTTCAGTGATTATACAACTCAGGTCAGCTGATCGGATTTCTGATGGTTTGTATGTGAAGAGATTAATGTTAGAAAATGCTTCAAAAACGCCCCCTTTAGATCAGTGGTTCTGAAACTGGGGGTCCCAGGATGATTCCAGGGGGTCGCCAGATCATTGTAAAATAAATAAATGAATAAATAAATAAAGCCTACATTTATCAAATACATTTACATTAGGGCTGTCAAAATAAAAAGTGTATACTTCTTCCCACTCCTTCTTTGAACTTGTTGATATTATGATTTGATTATACGATATTATCATTATTATTATTCTTTTTTGCTCTTTTTCCAATTCTTTTCTTTTGTTTTTATATTTTTTTCTCTTTCATTTGTTCGAAATAAATTAAATTCATTCAAAAGTAAAGAGATTAATCTGTGGAATTAACATGAATTTTTAACGCATTAATAAACGAACAACAAAGTTATTGCTCATGAGATATTAAGAATTCAAATTGTGGGGTCACGAACACAAACTTATGTTATCTTGGGGGTCATGGTTAAAAAAGTTTGAGATCCGCTGCCTTAGATGGTTGAAAAGATCCTTTTTATTTTGCACACGATGGTCACACTTTTGGTTTAGTGAACTAAGACCACTGCAGTTTCAAAACTGGTCTCGACTCTCTTTAGTGCTCTTTTAAAATTCATCCCAGCATGCAACACTGCTGGTTTTGTCTGATGCATCACTTGAAGATGCTCCACAGGTATACCCACCTCGTTTTAATAAGCAGATATATTCACAGTCAAGTCTTGAGATATTTTTATATCTTGTAGGAGTTAATATCAAGTTGGATCTAAACCAGGGGTCTCGAACTCCGGTCCTCGAGGGCCGCAATCCTGCAAGTTTTAGATGCTTCCTTCTTCCAACACACCTGATTCACATGATCAGGATCGTTATTAGGCTTCTGCAGAGCTTGATGATGAGCTGATCATTTGAATCAGGTGTGTTGGAAGAAGGAAACATCTAAAACTTGCAGGATTGCGGCCCTCGAGGACCGGAGTTCGAGACCCCTGATCTAAACTCTACAATAGAAAATATAATGTTAGGAATCAGTAGTAGTAGGACTTGAACCTGTGAGGTTTCCCTTACAGGACAGACTCTACACCCACCGGCTCACTCTACTCACCTGCAAAAAGGCCGACGTTGGACTGACGGGACTCGAAGGGACACCGGGCCTGACCCACCACCTCCTCCCCTTCCTGCTCCAGTGTGGACATCTGGGTCAGAGAGGACGCAGAGGCAACAAAACAATGCTTTATAAGCCCATATACGGAGCTGTAACGCTAACTCAACAGGAAAGTGGGATATAAAAAAAAAAAAACAATGACATTTGTAAACAGGAAAACAGAGTCGCTGTTTGCACTCGTAAAGCCGCGAAGTGTTCGCTGCTCCGATGGCAAAATCAATGAGCCGCAGAAGTCTTAAATGTCGTGAGAATTGAGCAAAAAGGATGTGCAAAAAAATAATAATCAACCTGTTATAATGAAAAGCAACACATGCACCATAAAGATTGGTTTTATTTGATGTCTGTATGTGGGTCATTTCCATAAAAGATGTGTGTGAAGTCAGAGGTCCTGCTGTCACAAGCAGGGAGGACAGTTTATCTCTCAGCCGCAGATATTAAGCTGCTATTTCCCAACCTGCTGTTAACAAGGTTGTAAACCTCAAATACGACAATAAGTAAAACCCAGCAGCGTGCCTATACGTATGTGTGTGTGTGAGGGACGGAGGTTGAATGCATGCAGAGCGACTGACACACACACACCGACAGTCCATTAACACGTCGGCTCGGCTCGCGTCGCGCTCGTCTGACACGTGTGTTTGTGTAATTGCTGCTCTGTTGTTATTCTGCCGTTTGACTGCTGAACTTGTGGCTTCGCTGCAAACCCTAAATACAAAACTCGTGCGTGTTGAGTGGACGGATCGACTCGACCAAGGGCTGTGATGGTAAATTAAGAGTCTGGGCAAATCTGAGGTCTTCATTTTGGCTATTTCCAGACTCATTTCACGGCCTTCTCGTTTTATCTTTGTCATTAAAATCTTGTGGTTTTTATTTCAAACCCGTCTGGGCTACCAAGGTCTTCCATTATTTGATATGATGATACTTAGATTGGACTTCTATATTATATTATACTTATATATGTATTCTGAAATTATGATGTTTTTACATGTATCCCAGCATCAGATGCTGGCAGTAGGAGATACCTACATCATAAGTAGGTAATCAGTGTCAGAACCATGATGGCAGGACACCCTAAAGTTTAGAGATCTGGGGGGAAAATGTGCTTTTTGCCAAACAGAAACATTATATTTTTTATTTTATTCACTTAAGTATTAACATATGGGAGCCAGAGGTGGTGAAACACACAAATTCCTAAACAAGGGGCCTCTATTGAACACTGTGCTTTGGGCTCCATGAGTCCAGGATGGCCACACGATCAGGTGCCCATCATTTGACCGCAACAAAGTGGGCCTTAAAGTCAGCCAGCTGGGGACACTGCAGACTTTGAAAGCACTGGTTCAGCTGTTTATTCAGGTGTATCGTACGCCTATATCCATATATATGGGCGGCTCTGGCTCAGGTGGTAGAACGGGTCGTCCACTAATCGCAAGGTTGGCAGATCCCCTGCCGCTCCACAGTGTCCTTGGGCAAGACATTGAACCCAAAAACATTGCTCCCAATGGCAGCACTGTCGCCATTGGTGTATGAATGTGATCTACTCTTTAAAAATGTACGCCGCTTTGGATAAAAGCGTCTGCTAAGTGAAACTGTAGACTGTAAATATCATAAAACAATATGGACTGCATGACTTGAAGATGCAGAAGTGTGGGAAAAAAAGCAGTAAAGATGTTACTTTGCTGAAGTCTGATCTGTCTTTAAAATGTTATTTCTTTCTGCATGTACACATATGTATGGTTCTGCTGTTCTTCTCATATATCAATAAGTAATGATTGCATTGCACAGATGTTAACACATCTACATGTTACCATATCTATGCATGAGTTCATAAGAAGTGCATTCATCTAAGAGTAATGTGGCGTAGAGACTGACCACAGAGCAGATTGTAGCTATGATAAAAAACCATTTTAATCACTTGTTGCACAGACGCACAACGAGCATCACTGGCGGTTTCATCTGATAAGTGCCACACCTCGATGTAGCACCAATTCAACGGAGAAGAAGGGAAGTGAATTTGAATGTTTTTAACATTGCTAACGTTATCAAAAACGCATTATCAGTGTGATTGGGAATGATGTTTGTATACTGTGTCGTGTTCTGCTCGGTACCTCGTTATGTTTATGTTTTCACCGAGGCCTGCCAAGAGACTGAGCTTGAAGCTAACTCCGCTACAACAGATCTGACGGTTTTTCTGAGAAGCGTTTTGGTGCAGAAACCCAGGACATGTGGGTGTTGTTGGGTTAATGGCTGCTCTGTGTACATCTGATCATCTGGTGGAGGAGTAAATAAGCAATCCAAAAGCTTACAATACGATTTTGGCATCGAAACTGTGCAGAAATGTCCCCAGGGATGTGTACAAAAAAAACAAAACACATTTTAGATTCTTAAACGCGTATGTGTTCACGCTCCATTGCTCTCGTGTACCTGATGCAACACAACACAACAGCTCTGCCCTCCACTTCTCCGGAGCTTCAAGTGTTCCGACTGAGCCTCTGCTTTCTGTTGTTGTTGTTGTTGTTGTTGTGATAAAAAGCATTATATTGCACTTTTGTCTCCTTTTTTTTTGTAGCCACCTCCTGTACAGCATCAAAAGGTGAACTTTGGCTAGATTTGGTGGAAAAAGCTTTTCACAAAAAAAAACAACATGGTGAGAGTCACAGAAGTGAAGCTCACAAAGTGGCAAAGACTAAGTGCTTTTAATGGCTTTTGCAGCTCGGCTTTTAACACAGGAAGCAGACGCATGGAGGGAAGCAAGACGGAAACAAAAAAAAAAAACAATTGTGACTGAGAAGACATAGCAAGATATTCACACACAGGGTTT